CCGTTTTTTAGGCATCTTTCTATAGTTTCTAGCGTGGGCACGCCTTAAAATAAAAAGTCTTCTGGAAATTTGCCCCAAGATACCATTTTTAACACCAACCTTACATAATATTAAATATGAACAAAATCTCAATATTTAGCACAGTAAGTAGCCAAAATTATGACCAAATAACAGCGCAAAAGGTGCCCAATAATTGCTCCATCATCCACATTCTAAACTTTTGCTTTGGCGACAATTTTTAGCAGTTTAGGGTGCAAATTGTCGACTCCAATAATTTGAGGGTCCAAAGAAATTGCACTGAAATTCAAACTCTGTGGCCTGAATTCATTCTCACCCTACCCTACGTCTTGGATGGAAATGCAAAGTTAGCTGAAGGTCTCTCTCTGATTGAAGTGGTTAGGTCACTGCTAGTAATTCAACATGCAACTCACATACCCCTATACTAGTAGCAATGCAATGAATGACATTAGTGGCATCAAGAGTTAAGATTGATGCTAAAACTTTTCAAGAATGGAGGATGTAGTGGCATCAAGTTGTAACCCATGGATGCGAAGGAAAAAGATATGATTCAAAGAATTTATTAATTTGCTGCGGACAATATCTTGCTTTTGCTTCCATTAATTGAGATGTAAATAGTACGAGCGATTCCGAAAGCATGGTACGAGTTGTATGAATACTTTCCCCTTGAGCGACATGGCTGTTTTTACCAAAATAACTCCTCGTCCTCGGAGGAAGGCTACCATGTTGATGTGTTTCTTCAATCATAGCCGTTCATTGTATTGGGTTGAGTAAATCTCAACCATCCAATTATCCCTTGGATGATGACGTGGCCCTCCTATCCACCGTCCACGTGTCCGCCCCGAGCGTCTTTGTAATATTATAAGACGCTCGTACCGTTCGATCTGCCACGTGTACTCGACCCGATATACCCAATATAACAGATACTTTGCATTGGGGTGAGTGACGTCATCTATTGGGTTCAGTGACATCATCAGGTAGAGCTCCTCAACAGTTACAACACCACATCCTTCTATTTAACCGACACCGTTTCATCAACATAACACAAGCACTGCCTTCCTCATCATATCTTCTCCATCAAGTTCAGGAACACGTGAACATTTCAATGGAGATACCAACAGACCAGTCCATCGCCGGTTACTATAAATCACATGTCACGGAGACTGACACTGGATCCCTTTTGAGGACTTTCATGACGTTTCTTTTTTCTTTGCAATTATTTTAGTAGTGCCCGACAACTTTAGGACTATTACTGGTTGCCACGTGAAATAAATTTAATTTTGACTGAGACATGTGGTTCCTCTGTTTTCCAGTGCATGAGCTGTGTGGAAATTGAAAGTATAACAAACGCTAAAACGATTGAGCTGACAAAAAGTTTTTGCGATTGACCAAATTCAAATGTTTCAAACTTTTAATGATTAAAGGGAGCCCTTTTTGATTGGTTAGACAGCCGCAGCAATGCTGAAATTATCACTACATATGGAATTCCATTCAACAACATTACAATGAACAACCGCCAAAATTATCAGAATAAATACTAATAATTAATTCCAAGGTAATCTAATCTAATCTTAAATAGGGGTACCCTACTTACTACTAGTTATCATAAAGGAGTCGTAAACTGAAATTATGAAATGAAACTTATAGTTAACGTAGGTATTGACAAACTTCATCTAAAAACATAGAACTAAAATTGGAGATTGTGGTGCTTACCAATTTTACTTAAAAGCGATTGTAGACGGCTCTCAATTTGAAAAGCTCTTCTTTGATAGCAAGGCAAATACGCAATAAACATGGCAATCAATACAGTTCAAAGCATTAAAACTTCTATTTGTTAGAAAACACCAAACTTGAAATTGAATTGTAGTAGTTTATACAAATTATTGTGTTTGATAGCAAATTTTTCCACAAATACTATTTTGCTTGTATCACAATTATAATTCTCAATTAACTTTTTTATCTTATCAACAAATATTTTTTATCTTATATATATCATATCACCAGAAGTGTCACAATAATTATTTCAAATAATATTTCAAGCGTTATTTTAATATTATTCAAATAATCTAGTCATCATAAATATTATTCAAGTGTTAGTTTACTATTATTAAGTACTAGTCAATCATTGCTTAGCTTGAACCAATGCATTGCATGCTTGATATAGTACTAGGCATTGGTCCCCGCGGGGTCGTGGGGTGCTCATATTATACTTTTTTTTTGTGTGTTTTTGGGGTATGATAGGTTATTATTATTTTTTTTATAAGTGAAAGATTTTAGGTTCAAAATCTATTACTTACCATTTTTCTCATCTGACCATCCAACCCAACCCTCCTTTGTTTGTTTATTAATTATATGTACATGTATCTTATATTGGAACATGTGTAAAGATTTGTAACATAATTTTTATAATGTAGTATGAATTTGTCATATTTTGTATTATTTTGAATGATTATGATTTTGATATGCTTTTCTATTGGTAGAGTGGTTAATTGTTTTGCATTTTTAATTTTTTGGTATTTTTAGTGTTTACAGTATATTTATGATTTGTCTAATTGTGATTTGATTATTGGTTTTGATTAATTTTGTGCTAGTGAAAGTTGTGAGAGTGGATTAATTGAAGGATTTCTTAGTGTGTATGATAGTATAATTTGAGGTGTATTATTCTAGGGGTCTGTTTGATAATATAAAAAAGTGTTGAATCTAAACTTTTTCAAACATTCAGATGTTTTGAGTGTTTGATAAATGAAAATCAATTTACTGAACTTGTTAAGTAGTGCTAAACTTGTGTATATTTGTTTCAGTACAAGAATCCTAACTGAATGCTTAATTCTGATAAGAATCAATAGAATTATTTCAACTACCTTATCTTATCTACCAAATTTACCCTTGTTTATTAATTTTGTTCAAAATTCTTATATAATTAAACAATCTAATATTATGTATCTAATGATTTTCTATTTCTCTTTTCTCCATTTTGAATGACTTTCACTTCTTCTTCACACTCCTCATATAATATAATTCATCTTTTATATAAATTTAATTTAAAAATAAATATTGTCATTTTCATACCTAACATTTTTAGCTAATTAAATCACAGGTTCTATTTCTTTTTTGGATGAAAAGATATAAGGGCAAAATTGTCAAATTTAACTTATTAAGCATTCAGTTATAAATGTTTATCAAACAGTATAAATAGGTTTATCATTAAAATTCAGACATTTATATATTTATTTTCAGTGCTTAAAATTTAGCAAATTAATTGTTTCAGAATTCAGACTTCAGAATTCAAATTCAGTTTTATCAAACGGAACCTAGGTTGTGTTGATTTTTATAATATTTTGTATTGATTAGTAATGTGTAAATTGTATCAATGTTTTAATTGTTTGTTGTTGGTACTATTTAACTTGTGAAGAATAATTTGGCAACTAAAGTAGTTGTTTTGTTTGCGTGTCATATGTTTATAGCTATATATGGATGAATACAGTGGTATTTTTCTTGTGTCTTAAACCCAAACATAGTGGGCTAGCATAAGGCGGTAGACCCAAAAAAATTTTGCAAAAAACGTGAGAGGCCCGAAGAAATGTGGGTGGACATATGAAGCAGGCAGCGACCTAACCACTAAAAATAGTATTTGCAATAAAAAGACAAAAAAGGCCAAAATCTGTAGAGAAACAACAGCGAAACCAGCGTAAAAGGGTAAAATTGGAACGGGGCACCAAAATTCATAACTTGTGGCCAACAAACATGAAACAGAGATGATTCCACAATGGGTTCCATCACACCCAAAAAGACAAATGTGGACAAAATCAACACTCAAATTACAAAGAAACCAACAGAAATCACTATTCCCAACCCTTCGCGTTTTATGTATTTAGAGATTAGCTTCACTCCCTAATTGGCCCTACTTTTTCAGGTTTCAATTTCTAAAAAGTTTTAAGCAAATTTGGAGCTATCTAACTGGCCTTCCTTTTGCAGTTTTCAATTTCTAAAAATTTATAAGTAAATCAAATTAAAAAATGTTAAAAATTAATTATTTTAATGAGAACCCACTAAACCAATGTTGCAGGAATTTTAAGAGAGTAAAACAAAAGGGAGGGGAGCAAAATTTTGAAGAAATTGGAAGAGTTATGTTGTGTTTGAATTGTGTTTTTCTAAAAAAGAAATATTATTTTTCGTGAATATATTTTTAATCATTTTTTTTTACCTTATTGCTAAAATGTATAATATCCAATCTAAACGGATCAATGAACGCCCTCAAGTGCTTAAGAAAACGTAAAGGAAAATAGGGATAAGATATGAAATCCTCGAAGACACAACGAACGAAAGCGTGGTGACAAATTAGAAATTAATTAACCGGGTGAGAATCAATTAAACAGGTAAAAATATTGAAAACAAAAGTTTGATTGTGGGCGTTTGCCAATCGCCTTTTGAATGCAGAAGAGATTCGAGGAAAGACCATCTCGGTCAAAAGGGGGATGGTGGTGAGTTGCCGCTGGTCCATTACGCCACTAGCACTCTTTAACCATGAAAACCATCAAAGTTTCTCATGTTGACACTATAACCAGTCTATTGTTACTGTTTACAACCCAATTGATACTGTTTATACAGTTCAGATGATAAGATTGTTAAGGGCATAATCAATGCTGTACCATTCAAACAGTATGGAAATAAAAAATTCGACATCATTTTTTTATAATTATATTAGATAATTTAATAATTTTATAGGAAAGTCAATTAAAAATTATTACACAAGAGTATTTTTAGATATTTATTTAAAAATTTGATCAAGTTAATATTATTTTAAAATTATCAAATTAAAGGAGATATATGTAATTTTCAAAACCTCAGTGGAGTTGAGTGAAATTGTCAGAAAACTCGTTATCCTTAGAAATTAATTAACCGGGAGGGAATCAAATAAACAGTTGAAAATATTGAAAACCAAAGTTTGATTGTGGGCGCCAAGCGCCTTTTGAATGCTGAAGAGAGTCGAGAGGAGGAAGGGTTCTCGGATGAAGAATGGGGTAAGTATGGATAGGGACCAGACATGCTTCGAGCAAACCATTAGGATAGTGGTCAAAAGAGGTGGCGGCTGTGTTTGAGAAACAGATTAGCTAACGCATGTGCAGTGGGGTCGTTTTTTTTTTTCTGTCAATTTGTCATTTATTTTCTGGACACTAGCAATCAATGTACAGAAAAGTAGAGAGCACTTGTTTTTGAGGTTTCGCAGATCTTTCTTATCTCCTTTCATATTTGAGATCTGTTTCATCTCTTAAATTGAGATCGATACCTTCTGGTTCCCTTGTTAATCTTCCTTTTATTAGATGGCCTCCACTAGTATCACTTGTATTTCTTCCATCTTGGATGATCTGCAAGTGCTGGAGAACGATTGTCCAGAATTTCCAAATGGGCAGCAGAAGTACCTGAAACGCATGCTAAGATATCTGAGAACATTTCTTCTGTGTGCGAGAAAATACAGCAACGATTATGTGCAATTACCATTCGACAACAAAAAGAACCAGGCAGATAATCATAAAGCAAGCCTAGAAGCTCTGGCAGTTCGGATTGGAGATGCCATTCCCAAGTGGGCAAAGGAGATCCAATCTTCTGATCAGCCTTGGGATGCGGTCCATGATTTAGAAAAAGACATTAAATCCTTCGAACAAGAAATTTGCGAATGGTATGTCTTTTTCTTGGGTTCCTCGTCACAGCAGTCCAGTAATTCGGTCGTTCGAAAAGATGACCTCATGGAATTCATGGATTCTCTTCTGGAGAATCTAGTGAATTATTGGTCACGGATTTGGCCGGCACATGAAGTTGGACTAATTAAAGCCCTTGAAGAGAAGCTGGCGTTCATGAAAAACTTGATCCGTTTTGTCACACTGTATGGCGTTGAAAACACAGAATTGGGACCTTTGTTGGTTCACACTGAAGCTGTGACTATCAATGCAGCACGCCTCTCTTATAAGTGCCAGTTTAAGAAGGGTTTCGGACCGCCCAAGGATGTCCAGGAAAGCATTTCGGAACTGCTGCAGAAGATTATTCCTGTTGAACTGCAAGTCCTTGAGACTTGTATCAAGGCCCTGACTGCTTCAAAGTTATCAAGACAATCATACGGAGACACAGATGAGCATCTGTTGAGAGACTTCTTCCATTCTCTCCTGTGTAATCTTTGGGAGAAACTAAAGCATGGTACTTGTCCTGTGATTTTGCAGCAACTACAAATGTTTTACGAGGGGCTAAATTCCTTGAGAACCATTTTGAAGGAGAAGCCGAAGGAGTTTGATGAGAAAGTGAGAGATCCTGCTCGAGTCGTGAACTGTTATCGAGGAGATTTTATTTCTCCACTCTCTTTGAATGCAATCAAAGATGCCATACAAGCCAAGGATATGGATATTGTGTGTTCTGAGTTATTGGAAATAATTAAGCTCATCGATGCAGTAATCACAGAGAAGTGTCCAGAATCATCATCATTCAATTTTCCTAAGACCAATGGACTGGGCTTTGTTGATTCCCTTCTAGAAAAGATGATGGATGTGACAAGTTCTGAGGCTGGCTCGATTGCTTTGATCGATCATCCAATTCAAAAAGTCCAGGAAAAACTTGTTTGTTTACGCTCTTTGCTGAGGAAAATTGTGGAGCTGCGCAATGAAGACGAGGAGGTCCAGGCAATTTGGGATCGTATTGTTGGGGTGGCATATAGGATAGAGTTTCTTATTGACTCCTTAATAACTGGAAATATCATACATTCTTCTTCAATGTCCATTCATTCCATTTTAGATGAAATGAACATCATTAAAGCTGCGGCCTTGAAGATTTGTGATAGCGGAACACTTGGTGAAAAAGTTAAGGAAGTAACGAAGAGATTCAATCACATGCCACAACAGGGAAGTAAGCCAATAGTCAATGATGTGGTGGTGGGATTCGAGGATGAGATGGCATCGATAATCAATCAACTCAGAAATGGATCACGCCAAGTGAAAATTGTTTCCATTGTGGGTATGCCGGGATGCGGTAAGACAACTTTGGCTAGAAAAGTGTACAATGATTCTTCAGTGAAGTCCCATTTTTATGAGCGTGCTTGGTGTACTGTTTCTCAAATATATCACAAGAGAAATCTGTTGCTTCAAATTTTGACTTGTATTGAGTCCAAGCTTCCTGAGGATGTTTTTAAGATGGGTGAAGAAGATCTGGCTCTTCAAGTCAAAAGACGTTTGCTGAAAAACAGATATCTCATTGTTTTGGATGATGTATGGGACATTGATGCATGGAACGGATTGGAAGCCTCATTCCCGGATGATGGAAATGGAAGTAGAGCTATCTTGACAAGTCGGCTCCGTGGTGTTGCTCCGCAAGACAAACTCGACCAAGAACCACATTCTCTTCGTCAACTCACTCCTAATGAGAGCTGGGATTTGCTAAAAGGGAAGTTATATCCTGGTCAAGATTTGGCTCCTCCAGAACTCTGTGAAATTCGACAGCAAGTAGTGGAAATGTGTCAAGGACTACCTCTTACGGTTGTCATTCTTGCCGGAATTCTCTCAAGGATGGACCGATATGGTTGGAAAGAAGCTGTGGAAGGTTTAAGTTCAAGGAATGTTTCTAGTACGGAACAGTGTACTGCTACATTAGAGCTGAGTTTCAAACATTTACCTGATACTTTGAAGGCGTGTTTTCTTTATTTTGGAGCCTTTCCAGAAGACCATGAACACAATACCAAGAGGTTGATTTCTCTGTGGGTCGCTGAAGGATTTGTTCAAAAAACTCAGCTCAAGAGATCAGAGGATGTGGCCAATGATTACCTGATGGAACTTATTGGCAGAAGCTTAGTCATAGTTTCGAAACCAAGATCCATTGATGGGGTCAAAGCTTGTCGCATTCACGATTTGTTATATGAGTTTTGTGTGACAAAAGCCAAAGAAGAAAAGCTTTTGCAGCTGGTACGTAGGTATGATGACTTATCTGCTTTCACCGTGCCATGCTACCTGCGCCGCTTATGCATTGATTCTAAGGTCGAGCACTTAGACAACTTGAGGTTATGTTCTCCTGCCATACGCAGTCTATTATTATTCAGTCACGATGAAGGCAATGGAAGTTGTTTTGACCTTCGATTCATTTTTCACATCATAAAACTTGTCAAAGTGTTAGATTTGAGCCAAATTAAACTAGAAGGCATCTTTCCTAGAGAACTAGAACTGCTTGTTCACTTGAGGTACTTGGCAATTCTAGGTAATGGCAGTCCCGTCCCAGCATCAATAAGTTATCTCACCAACTTGGAAACTTTGATTTGGCGAAATTCCAGGAGTCATGGTTCAGTTTCATTGCCAGATACTATATGGAACCTGAAGAAATTAAGGCATTTACAACTAATGGACGAGGTCGATAAGAATTATCATTTTAGATTCCCTGAGAACAACCTTGACAACTCTTCACAGTTGTGTGACTTAGATATCTTGTCCTGTCTAAGCCTCAATCCTCGGAAGAACATCAACAAGTTGTTGAGAAAGTTTCCAAATATCCGCAAGCTGAGAAGCTCTCTTTATCTCGATAAGGGCTGTGAATATCATGTAGCAATGGATTGTCTAAGTCATTTGGAATCACTCAGTCTGAGTTGCGTTGTTTACGGCGGTGACCGATATCAGTTAGATTTCCAATTTCCTTTGACCATTAAAAAATTGACCCTATCTTATTTTCGCTTGCCATGGAGCAAAATGGCAGCAATTGGAAATCTACCCAATCTTGAGGTGCTCAAATTACTCAAACAAGCCTTTGAGGGGGAAATATGGGAAATGGAAGCAGAGAAGTTCCCTAGTGTTCGCTTCTTGAAATTAGCTTCCTTGAACATTGTGAAGTGGACAGCCTCCTCCGAGTATGAATACGAGGACCAGTACTATTTTCCTCGTCTCCAGAAGCTAGTGTTGGAAAGCTGTGATGCATTGCAGGAGATCCCTTCTTGTTTGGGAAATAGTTCAACTCTTGAAATAATTGAGGTGTCAAAATGTCCCAACTGTACCAGTTCATTGGAGGAAATTCAGGAAGAGCAAAGAAGCAATGGATATACCGATCTGAAGATCCTTATCTCATAATGGACGATTGATCTTCTCAAGTAAGTTTTTTTAAGTCCTTTACTTATGTACTGCTACGGGTTATGTGTATCTGTTTAGCATCAAGCTCAAGTTGTTCTTTTTCTTAATAGTTTTCTTTTTCTTTTTCTTAATTAGTATTGGAAGGCGGCAAATTTTTGGCGGAGATCCCTTCTTGTTTGAAAAATATATCAACTCTTGAAATAATTGCGGTGTCTAAATGTCCCAACTCTAATATTTCAGTGGAGCAAATTCAGGAAGAGCAATTAAGCAGGGGAAATACCCATCTGAAGATCCTTATTTCACGATGGATGACTGATCTTTTCAAGTGTGTTTGGTTTGGTTATCTGTATCAGTATGGCATCAAGATGAAGTTGTTCTTTTTTCCAATTAGTATTGGAAGGCTGCAAATTTTTGGAGGAGATCCCTTCTTGTTTGGGAAATAGTTCAACTCTTGAAATAATTGAGATGTCTAAATGTCCCAACTCTACAAGTTACAGTTACAGCAAATTCGGGAAGAGCAAATAAGCATGGGATATACTGATCTGAAGATCCTTATTTCATAATGGATGACCGATATTCTCAAGTATGTTTGGTTTGGGCAGCCACTTCATTGTACTTCTTTTTTCTTTGACAGTCCATTGCTTCTGCACTACTAATGGTCTTGTGTCTCTGTTCAGCATCAAGATCAAGTCATTCTTGTCTTCTTTGTAAGTTTTTCGTTTTTCCTGTGACAGAATCTTGTAGTGGGATATCACTTCCCAAGTTTGATGTTGTTTGTAAAGATTCAAGTGGATTTGTCTCAAATAAGAGTCAGGTTTTCAAGAATGTTTTGCACTTATTTGAAGGTAATACTGCTTAGTTGCATATCGACTACTGTTTTGTTCAACCTATAGGTATAGGTACAACTAAATGAGTTCGTCGAGTAGAATAAATGCCATTGACGTCCTATTTTCTAGAATTCATGGTTACAATTTCTGATCTTTCTGACTCTCCCAGTAGAACTTTATTAAATCATATAATCAATCAGGTTTAAAATCAAGCACTCAGCATATTAATACCTGTTATATATAGCGGTTTACTAGAATCCATTTCTTGATCCAATTATAATAGTTTAATAGATCAGGCAAAATCGGACCTCTTCCCCCATTCAAAATTTGAAATAAATCTTAGAAGAAAGCCTATAACGATTTCAGGTTTGCTGGCACAATCATCAATTCAATATTATACTACATTTTGAAATTTCAGGGATATAGATATGCAGGCTAAAGTAAAAGTTCCTCTTTGTCTGAGCATTTGATGCATTTCTTGTGCAACAAAAATAAAGCCAATTCAAGATAGGACTTAACAAAATTAGAATGGATTGCTCAAAAAAATAAAAAATAAAAAATGGAAGGGATTAGAGCAGATCAGTTCAAGAAAGGCTTCAGCATAACAAGAAAGGGATCATCAGACAACTTCCAAATCAAAATAAAAATTAATAATGAAGGACATGGGCCTTTTAAAAATAACATCATGTCGTGTGATTCATGCTTCCTCTTAAATACTACGTGGAAGACCTAATGACCATGTGGAAGGCAAGTTTTTAAAGGTTATACTCGAATTTTTTTAAATCTCTTTTACCCTCCTATTAATAAGTGTCGAGCCTGTGCAATAGTAAATACCTACTCAAATAAAGTACAAAATTTTATATATAACGGTGAGTAGAGTTGAATCCATAGGGACTCGAAAAAAATTTATTTCTTCTAAAGTTCAAGTATGGGGGGATTTTTGGGAAAATGGAAGTAATTCAATAAATAAATAAGTAATTGAAAACTAAATGATAATGTATTAAAATCGAATCAATAATAATTGAACTCTAGCCAAGAAATAACTTTGGAAATTGTTCATTTAATTGATTATTGATGCAATAATAATTCCACTTATTAACTGATAAACAAGTTATAACTGCCAACTAAGCAATGACAGTTAACTTCTCCTTATTTTATCGATAGTCAAGGTACTACTATTAGCCATTGCCCTAATCAAGAAATAACCCTAACTATGATCTTAGAGTTCAATTTTCCAATTACCTTAAGAACTAGAAAAGTCATGTTCCAACCAAATAACACGCTACAACGGTTATTTTAAGTTAGCCCATATATTCCCCTGACACAAATCCAATCATGTCAGTCACCACTAATTTAAAGTAATTAAATAATTACGGATTTAACTGCTCTAATGGTTGTAAGTTGTTAGATTAAAGTAAATATTGGGCGTCCTTGATATTCAAATAAAATAATAACCATAAGAAATTAATTCAGAGAACATATGAATACCAGTAAATAAAAGATATAAATATAATTAATTCGATTTCACAATTTTTAGGTGAACCAAATCCTTTTTTGTTTCTTGATTAGAATGACAAACTTAGTTCATCATCATGGAAAAAGCCATGCGCAAAATATTGAAATTTATTACTGCGGGCATTCACCAATTGAAATGAATTCCAGAGGAAAAGAAAAGGAAGTCCGTTGTCTTGTTTCTTGCTAAGAATAAAAGATACTCCCTCCGTCCCATTTTGATAGTCCTGTTTTCCTTTTTCGTCTGTCCCAAATTGTAGTCCACTTTCCAATTGAACAATATAGTTGTATTTTAATTTTTCTAAAATACCCTTATTCAATGTAAGTTGTTGTTACTATAAATCTACCCCATTTAATGAGAGTTGATTCTTTTTTTACCATCAATTCAAGTTCCCATAAAGTTGTACTCTAATTAATGTGAGGGTATTTTAGGAAAATAGTTACCTAAATTGATTGTTCCAACAAAGTTAACTACTTTTTCGTAAACTGTGTGAAAAAAAAAATCAGGACTATCAAAATGGGACGGAGGGAGTACCTACTAACTAGTCTCCCACTTGGGGAACGAAGAGATAAAGAAACAATAATCCTCTGTCGTTCCGTTTCCTAATACTACTAGACTATTTCTATTTAGCGAAATCCAATTTCCAATCCGCCTTGATTCTTTCAAAAAGTCAAGATAGATAACTAGACCAGTGACCTAATAAAATATAGGAGACTAGTCATTCCGTGCAGAGTTCGACTTCCACGGCTTCGTTCCGACTTCAATTCAAGATTGAAAATCGCGCACAAAATCTAGAGTTTCCGGACACGCAGAGTTAGATCTTGATGCACCTATACCAAATTTACATAGAAATTAGTTAAAATTCATGTTTTTAACTCATTTTTGTTTCGAATCCTTACAACCAACACCAATTATCAAATATAAGTAGAATTTATCAATTAACGCAATATTTGATCAAAATTAAAGGAAAAATAATCATGAATTTTATAACAAAAATGCAACCTATCACCTGTCCTCTCCCACATCCTTTTCCCTCCTAATTAAGGAGCACATGATTCGAATACTAAACTTGATAGTTAAGAAGATTCCAATAGCGCTTCTCTGACCATTGGTTTGATCCGGTGGTTAGTAATACTCTGATTGCTCAACCAAGTTTATGAATTCTCTAAGAACTTATTTATCTTTCTTAACTACAATTATATACCATTGGGGGGAGGGGGGGTTTATGGTAGTTAGCAGAATAACTTCTAATACACAGCACATATTAAATTGATTGTTATACAAAATGAAGGAAGAAAAACGCAAGTTAAGAAAGTTCCTCTCTTTTTTAATCCCTCTCGATATTTTTTCCACTCCCAATTATTAGGCTCAGGGTTTGAATCTTAAATTTGACATTGAGAAAAATCCAAGTTAAGAGAGCTAATTGTACTTTGTTGTACAATTAGATCATTAGATCATATAGCAACCAGGTAAAGAATTAAGAAACCCAACATTTTAATAATTTGTTGTATTGCTGTTCAGCTTGATCCATTTTGTGATCGAATTGCAATAAATCTAAGGAAAATACCTTTTAATTTTTTTTTTTAGGTTTGCTGCCTCAGTTTCTTAATCATTTCGAATTTATATGTATATAGGTTTGCAGCCTAAAATAAAAGCTAGTTTGTCTTTGTCATATTTGAACAATTTCTTGAACACCAATTACAAAACTAATTCAAGATACCATAAAAAAAAGTTCATTTCCTGTATCTAAAACGAAATTCAGCTTCATTATATTATACTTCTACATGGTGCTAATGAATTGGAAGAAACAAGGATATCATCTTCCAAACTGATAGAATAAAATCATTTGATGTCATTGATGTCACCATTAGGGCTTAGTAGTTAGTACACAGCCCTCATTTGCCGAATGAGATCGCCTCTAATCTGGACTGTCCAAAAATTTCAAATGGACAATCCAAATCAACCCGATCTCGTTTGGCAAGATCAGGTGTTGGCCATGACAAAGGCTTTTAAGGTTATTATGAGGTAAGAGATTAAGAATTCGACTCTTCCTTCCTATCAATTGTCACTAATACGTGACTTTTTCAAATTCAATGAGCATCATTTGGCACCCGTTTGGTTCAAGGGTAGTTTAACTCACTTTGGTTTCCAATGACCTAGTTCAGTCTATCCCCTTCCCTATAATATAGAAGTAGGATTAGGTATAAATGCAAAAATGTTTAAAACACACTTTATATGTGTATTCAATAATAAAATGGCACACTCTACGTTTGTGCAAGTAATAAAAATATTTATTTTGTGAAAATTTTTTCATGTAAATTGATCAAAAACAAGTAGTATTCAACTTAAATGGACAAGAAGCTTCCTCATAGCAATTGAAATAGGATCAGATAAAGTGCAAATGGAAAAGTTCAAGTAAAGCCCAGAAATAATTGTTGTAAAGTAAAATATGCACGGCAAGCAAGCAAGCATTATGCGATAAATCCTTCAAAAAAGAAGTATTATGCCATAAAAAATTTATATCTAATTATATCTCACTATGCATTAACATGAAATCTTATTTACCATAATATATTAGTCAGTAGTGTTCCATGTCAGTTTACATTTAGAATTTCATTGCTTCAACTTGTAAAGTTTGCCTGGAAAAGTTAAAAAAAAAAGAACAATATTGTCATTGTTTCTGATACCAATTTTAATGGCGTGATCTCCCAATGATCTTTCGTCTCCATAACTTTTGAATATAATCGACGGTCGTGCTTCAGGCCGGCCGCTGCTGGCGCCTCCACTTGCGACAATTTGTTTTCTTCATTAGTAATGGGACAACAAAGATATAAAGGCACTCAAATAAAATAAAGGCATTCAAATAAAATAGAGGTAGTATGACCTGTTTTCCACAAGGCAGCAAAAACATTATTGTATAGGAGGTAAAACCGGTCATCAATTTCAAGATAGCTAAACTAAACACAGGTTTGTATAGGAGTTAAATCAAGATTTTAGATGTGTTTTCAAACTTGGACCGGACTGGCCGGTCGAATCGAGAACTGGCCAAGTGTCCTGTCCGAGTTACTCTAAAAACCCGAATGTATAAAAATTTGGTCAAACTCGGTCAAAAATCGGGTTTGACGGGCAAACTGGATGAATCAGTTTGATGTCAAAGCTTTTTTTTTTTGAAATAGTCAAAGCATTTTCAAAATTATGTTTTGGCCCCTAGGTTGTTAAAAATTATTAATATATCTCAAATATTTAATACTTTATAAATGTTGCCCTAAAGTTTGGTGTTATTTTCAATTAAATCCATAATTTTAATTCTAAACTTGTTAATGTTCATTGAATAATATAAATTGCTACTTGATCATTCTAATTTCTTTCTATTTTCTTGTTAAATATATTTGAAATATCAAATATATATGAATATACATTTATTAATATTAACATGCTCTTAAGTATTTTACATACAATATTTTAATTTTTAAATAATTTTTATT